GTAGTTTCCCAGAAGGGTGATTGCTGGGTCATATGGAAGGCTGATTTTTAGATCTTTTAGAAATTGCCACACTGTTTTCCACAGAAGTTGTACTAGCTTACGTTCCCACCAACAGTGTAGAAGTGTTCCCTTTTCTCTGCATCCTCTCCAGCATCTGTTGTTTTTTGAGTTATTAATGATGGCCATCCTGACTGGAGGCAGGTGGTGTCTCAGTGTGGTTTGGATTTGCATTCCTTTGATGTTTACTGAGGCTGAGCGTTTTTTCATGTATCTGTTGGCTGCTTGTATGTCTTCTTTTGAGATGTGTCAATTCATATCTTTTGCTCACCTTTTTTTGTTTGTTTGTTTTTGTGGGGTTTTTTTTTTTTTGGTGTTTGTTTGGGTTTTTTTTGGTTTTTTTGAGTTGGAGTCCCACTCTGTTGCCCAGACTGGAGTGCAGTGGCCGCTCCCAGCCACCGCAACCTCGACCTTCTGGGCTCTGGCAATCCTTCCGCTTCGGCCTTACAAGTAACTGGAACTACAGGTGTGCGATACTATGCCCGGCTAATTTTTGATTTATGTAGAGATGAGGTCTCACCAAGTTGCCCAGGCAGGTCTCGAACCCGCGGGCTCAGGCAGTCCACTCACCTCGGCCTCCCAAAGTGCTGGGATTACAGGCTGAGCCACCAAGCGCGGCCTTTTGCTCACCTTTTAATTGGGCTGTTTGTTTTTTTTCCTTTTGGCGTGCTTGAGTTCCTTATAGATCCTGGATGTTAGGCCTTTGTCAGATATGAAGTTGGCAAATATTTTTTCCCATTCTTTGGGCCATCTCCCCACTCTCTTAATGGCTTATTTTGCTTTGCAGAAGCTTTTCAGTTTGATGAGGTACCATTTGTTTATCTTAATTCTTATGGCATGGGCTTTGGGGGTTTTGATCAGGAGTTGGTTGCCTATTTCAATTTATGTAAGGGTGTCTCCTGCATTTTTTAAGATTCTTATAGTTTGAGGTTTTACACTTAGGTCTTTGATCCACTTAGAGTTGATTTTTGTGTATGATAATAGGTAGGGGCCCTATTTCATTCTTCTGCATGTGGCCAGCCAGTTTTCCCAGCATCATTTACTGAATAGATTCTCCTTTCCCCAGTGGCTATTGGTGGAGGCTTTGCTGAAGATGAGTTGGTTGAGAAATTGAGGTTTTGCTTCTGGAATCTCCATCCTGTTCTTGTACCAATACCAGGCTGTTTTGATTATTTTAGCCTTATAATAAAGTTTAAAGTCCAGAAGTGTGATTCCTCCTGCTTTGTTTCTTTTGCTGAGGATTGTTTTGGCTATTCAAGGTCATTTATGTTTCCATATGAATTTCTGTGTTGTCATTTTCAGGTTTATGAAAAATGATATTGGTAATTTAATGGGTATTGCGTTGAATCTGTAGATTGCTTTTGGTAGGATGGAAATTTTAACAACGTTGATTCTTCCAATTCATGAGCATGGAGTATTTTTCCATTTGTTTGTGTCTTCTTTGATTTCTTTGAGCATTGTTTTGTAGTTTTCATTGTAAAGGCCTTTCACTTCTCTGGTTAGGAAGATGCCAAGGTATTTAATTTTGGCATATGTGGCTATTATGAATGGGATTGTGCTTTTTATTTGAATCTATTCTATCTTAAACTAGTGTCTTTCTTTTTCTCAAAACAAAATTCTTGTTTCTCAATGATACTGGGGATAACAGAGTTAGAATATCCCATATTTACTGATTTGTTTTATCCCACATAATGTGTACAATATCCTGAGAATAACAATGCCAATAGTACCTTGACAATTAATTATTGAAAATTATTTATTTCCTCCCCATTTTCCAGTTTCACTCTATATAGGTATTTCAAAATGCATAGCCATTATATACTAAAATCTCATTTTTAGCATGATTTTGTTATGGTCAGAGAATATGTTATATGATTTTTTTTCCTTGAAGTATGTTGAGAGTTTCCCAAGTATATGGCCAATTATTATAAATCTTCTGTGTGATTATAAAAGAATGTGTATTTGTAATATCAAGTTTCTTTTATATATGTGTGTTTGTTCTTTTAACTTTAAAAAAAATCTATTTCTGCAAATTACTGAAAATATGTTGTAATCTGCCATTCAGTTTGTGGATCTCTGCTTTTCCTCATAGTGTATCTATATTTACTTCATATTTTAAAGCCACTTTGTTAGGGGCACAGGAATATTTGATATCCTTTTATTACCATGACAATAGCAGAAGTGCACTATAGAAAATTAGCAGAGACAAGTACAAATTTAAAATGTAACTATCACAATACACTCTTCAGCAATTCCTACTTTACCACTGTCATTCCAAACCTGCATTTGCTCATGCACGCACAAACACATGCACACAGACAGTTTTTTCTGTTGAGCAAAATGAGATCATATTGAAGTTGCTTTTTTAGTCAATGATGATCACACCTAGCATATAGAGTTCCCTTTATGCTATAGTTGTCTTACATTAAGGAATAGTAGCATTACACCTATCTACATTGAAAATCCCATCTACCAGGATATAGTTTTTACTGTCAACTGTCAGATGCATTATATAGAAGTCAAGAAGACAAGATGATCTACTATATTGACTTAGCTGTTTACCATGTATTATGCTGTTTCTTCATTCCTGATATTCTAGATTCTCTTCTTGTATAGTTTCCTTTTGGTCTGATGGACTTTTAGCAAGTCTTTTAGAACAGGTATATTGGTGATAAGTACTTTGTTATCTTTTAATGCCTTTATTAATGATTGATATCTTTGCAGGACATAGAATATTGGCTTTAGTTTTTATTTTACCACTTTAAAATGTTGTTCCACTTCCTTTAGCCTCCATTGTTTCTGATGAGAATCCAGCAGCTGTTTGAATCATTGTTTCTTTGTATAAATAAGGAGAGGTATGTGTGTCTGTGTGTGTGTGTGTGTGTGTGTGTGTTCAAGTATGTCTATTCTAAAGACAGTGTCTTTCTTTACTTTTTAGCAATTTGATTATGATCAGTTTGGGTGTGTTTATTCTCTTTGATAAGTCTCAGTGAATTTCTTGAGTTTGTAGGTTTACGCATTTTATCAACCTTGGAAACATTTCAGTCCTTCTTTTCAATATTTTTCCATCTCTGGACAGTTTTCCTCTTCTTCTAGGACTGCAATAACATGAATTTTAGAACTTTTGGCATTGTCCTTTGGTCTCTGTTGCTGTGTTCATTTCTTTTTCAGTCTCTTTTTATTGCTGTTTTCAGATTGGATAAATCTACTGACCTATCTTAATTGTTTCTATCTCTTGTCTTATTTAGTATGCTATTGAGATCCTCCAGCAATATTTTCAATTTTAGTTTTTATAGTTTTTAGTTTGAATTTTTACTTGGACCTTCTTTATGTCCCTTATAACTTAGTAGTACTAAGATTTTCTATTTTTCTACTTGTTTCAATATTGATTACTTATTGGAATATTTTCCATAATTCTGGCTTTGAAGTCTTGTCAGACAAAAACACTATCTGTGGTATCATGGGATTGGCATCTGTTAATGATCTTTTCTCATGAGAGTTGAGATTTTCCTTTATATGGCAATAATTTCAAATTGCGTCCTCAACATTCTGACTATTAAGTTATAGATCTGAATCCTAAGTCCTATAGAACATGGTGATATGTTTTAGCAGAGATTTGACCTAGGTAAGTTTAGACATCAAGTTTCCACCTGACTTCTGTGAATCATTTTCCATTTTCACATATATATGACTGAACTGGCTCAGATATACTTTTTTTTTCCATTTGAAACAAGTGATGTGAGAAAAATTTTGTTTATCAACCTTAGTGGTTTTGGTTAAGTGCTTGAATTAATGGTTGTGATAACCCCTTCTTAGTGGCATATATTAATGTTACATACGTTTATTCTTAAACTAATTTCCTTTGTCAGTAATTCATTTGTTCTCTAATTATTTAGCACTTGTGATATGCTGTGGGCTTATTATTCTGTGGCGAATGCTATCAGAATTGGGTCTGGCCATAGGCAGATTTAGGAATTAAAAAATATACAGAAAAAGAAGTGAGTTAATGAAAGAATGAAAATGTAATTGAAACAGTTATATTTTTTTTTTTTTTGAACATTTTATTTTATTTTATTTTTTTTTTAAATTAATCAGTATTTTTATTATAGTTTTGTGGGGTACAGTTAAGGGTTAGGTGTACAATTACGTTTCATTCAGACACCCTGTTGATAAGAGGTGTTTTCCCAGCCCCAGACAGATATTTGCTACTGTTAATCCCCTCCCCCTCCCCCCCATAGTTTCCCAGTTATAAAGGCAAAGAATGAAGTTCTGGAATAGAGAATAAAGGACAGGGATTTACTTAGCTAGAGTCCAGCAGGTATAGCTGTTCTGAGGAAAACATTTGTCCTGGGATTTAAAAGACTCGTTGGATGTTTCTTACAAAAGAGCGAGGCCAGAGTGTTTATTGGGAGATGAAACAGTCTGAGCAAGCAAAAACATGAGAGAAATGTCATCATGTTCTAGTTGCTAAATGAAGGCAGTGGATAGAGATTGGGTACAAAGGAGGACAGTGCCTTCGTATGTATGATGTGTTATCTGTAGTAAAGTTTTTGATCTTCTTTTAAGAGTAAAGAGAAACCATTCAAAGCCAACTTTATGTATAATCCTTAAACTTGGATCTGAATCAGAATAATCTGATAGAGATGTTAAAAGTAAAGCTTCTTAGGACTTCTCTCTAAAAATTCTGAATCTATATATCTGAGTTGCTTGAATATCAATATTTGTAACATGCTTACCAAATGATTTTGCTTTACACCTGAATTTCACAAAGTTAACATATTTTCCTATTGCAAACATCACCATCTTATATAAGCTTTCTTCATTATTAGTACCGTTCTTTTTCAAATTCTGAAAGTATTTTAAAGTTAGGCCATTTGTTTAATGGATTTTACATGTGTGTGTTTTTGGAAAATAAAATGTGTTTGTTTTCTATTTTCTTTCAGATTTGGAGTCAAATTATGGCGCCGAGACAGTATCTCCAGAAAATGATATTTCAGAAATAAATTTACCCAAACAGATTATAAAGCAAATAAATAAAACTCTTGGCCTCGAGGCCTCCCATTTTAGACATGACTCAAAATATAGAAGTAGATTTGAGAGACTCCAGGGACATCAAGAAGGATATATCAATCAAAAGATCATCAGCTGTGAAAAAATGTCTCTGTATAGTCATCTTACTCCCCTTATTCATAATACAGATAAACCATATGAATGTAAGGAATGTGGGAAGCACTTTAGTCGTGGTTCAAACCTTGTTCAGCATCAGAGTATTCATACTGGAGAGAAACCCTATGAATGTAAGGAATGTGAGAAGACCTTTAGACTTAACATACAACTTATTCGACATCAGAAATTTCATACTGGTGAAAAACCTTTTGAATGTAGAGAATGTGGAAAGGCCTTTAGTCTTCCCACCCAGCTTAATCGCCATAAGAACATTCATACAGGTGAGAAGCCATTTGAATGTAAAGAATGTGGGAAGTCCTTTAATCGTAGTTCAAACCTTATTCAGCATCAAAGTATTCATGCTGGTGCTAAACCATATGAATGTAAAGAGTGTGGGAAAGGCTTTAATCGTGGTTCAAACCTTATTCAGCATCAGAAAATTCATTCCAATGAGAAGCCCTTTGTATGTAAGGAATGTAAGATGGCCTTTAGATATCATTACCAACTTATTGAACATTGTCAAATTCATACTGGTGAGAAACCCTTTGAATGTACAGAATGTGGAAAGGCCTTTACTCTTCTGACAAAGCTTGTTCGACATCAGAAGATTCATACTGGCGAGAAACCCTTTGAATGTAAGGAATGTGGAAAGGCCTTTTGTCTTCTCAACCAGCTTAATCGCCATAAGAATATCCACTCAGGTGAAAAACCCTTTGAATGTAAGGAATGTGGGAAGTCCTTTAATCGTAGCTCAAACCTTATTCAACATCAGAGTATTCATGCTGGTGCTAAACCATATGAATGTAAGGAGTGTGGAAAAGGCTTTAATCGTGGTGCAAATCTTATTCAGCATCAGAAAATTCATTCCAATGAGAAGCCCTTTGTATGTAAGGAATGTGGGATGGCCTTTAGATATCATTATCAACTTATTGAACATTGTCGAATTCATACTGGCGAAGAACCCTTTGAATGTAAAGAATGTGGAAAGACCTTTAGTCTTCTGACACAGCTTGTTCGACATCAGAACATTCATACAGGTGAGAAACCTTTTCAATGTAAGGAATGTGGAAAGGCCTTTAGTCGTGGCTCAAACCTTGTTCAGCATCAGAGTATTCATACTGGTGAGAAACCCTATGAATGTAAGGAATGTGGGAAGGCATTTAGACTTCACCTACAACTTTCTCAACATCAGAAAATTCATACTGGTGAGAAACCTTTTGAATGTAAGGAATGTGGGAAACTTTTTCGTCGTGGTTCAAATCTTAATCAACATAGAAGTATTCATACTGGAAAAAAACCCTTTGAATGTAAGGAATGTGGAAAAACCTTTCGCCTTCATATGCAGCTTATTCGACATCAGAAATTCCATACTGGTAAGAAACCTTTTGAGTGTAGGGAATGTGGAAAGGTCTTTAGTCTTCCTACTCAGCTTAATCGCCATAAGAATATTCATACAGGTGAGAAGCCATTTGAATGTAAGGAATGTGGGAAGTCCTTTAATCGTGTCTCAAACCTTGTCCAGCATCAGAGTATTCATGCTGGTGTGAAGCCATATAAATGTAAGGAGTGTGGAAAAGGTTTTAATCGTGGTTCAAACCTTATTCAGCATCAGAAAATTCATTCTAGTGAAAAACCCTTTGAATGTAAGAATTGTAGAAGGGCTTTTAGATACCATTACCAACTTATTGAACATTGCCAAATTCATACTGGTGAGAAACCTTTTGAATGTAAAGAATGTGGAAAAGCATTTAGTCTTCTGACACAACTTACTCGACACCAGAATATTCATACTGGTGGGAAGCCATTTGAATGTAAGGAATGTGGGAAGGCCTTCAGTCGTGGCTCAAGCCTTGTTCAACACCAGAGTATTCATACTGGTGAGAAACTCTGTGAATGTAAGGAGTGTGGGAAGGCTTTTAGACTTCATCTACAACTTTCTCAACATCGAAAAACACATACAGGTGAGAAACCCTTTGAATGTAAGGAATGTGGGACAACCTTCAGACATCACTACCTACTTATTGAACATCAGAAAATTCATACTAGGGTGAAACCCTATGAATGTAAGGAATGTGGAAAAACTTGTAGACTTAGTTCAGTCTTTACTGCACATCAGAGAACTCATACTGGTATGAAACACTATGAATGTAAAGAATGTGGAAAGACCTTTAGTTGCAGCTCCAACCTTGTACAATATGAGAGAATTCATACTGGTGAGAAACCCTATAAATGTAAGGAATGTGAGAAGGCCTTTAGACTTAGTTCAGTTCTATATGCACATCAGAGAATCCATACAGGTCTAAAACACTATGAATGTAAAAAATGTGGGAAAGCTTTTACTGTGAGTAGTCAACTTACTCAACATCAGAAAATTAATAATTGTCAGAAGTTTTATAAACATAAGGAGTGTGGACAAGCCTTCACTGTGTATGAAAATTTTACTCAACACCAGAAAACTAATATTGGTGAGAAATCCTATGAGTATAAAAGAATGTGGGAAGAACTTTCATCATGGCCTGAGATTTGCTCAACATCAGAGTATTAATACTGCTGAGAAATGCTTTGAATTTTAAGGAATGTGGAATGTTTTGTAGTCACACAAAACATTGTAGAGTTCAAAGAGAGTATTCTGGGGGAAAAGTCTTTGAATGTAAAGAGTATAGGATAGCTGTCATGTTCACAATTTACTCCTCATGAAATACTTTACTAGATGCAAGCATGCTTCACTTAATTGGATTTCAAAGGTAATGCATTTTATACAAATTGAAGATCTGTGGCAACCCTGAAGTGAGCAAATTATTGGTACCATTTTTCCAACAGTTTGTGCCCACTCCATGTCTCTGTGTCACATCTTGATAATTCTGATGATAATTCAAACTTTTTCATTATATCCACCATGGTGATCTATGATTAGTTATCTTTGATGTCACCATTTTAATTGCTTTGGGGTACCACAGATCACACCTATATGTCAGTGAGCTTAATAGGTAACAGTCATGTGTTGAGAGAATGGTAAAATACACAACCACATACCCTTACCTATATTCAAAATTGTTAACAATTTGCCATGTTTATTTTTGAATATTTTTTGATCATTGAGAATAAGTTTTAGACATCATGACCCTCTACCCCTTATTACATCAGCATGTATCTCCCAAACATAAAATCAATATTATATACCATATACCATAAGTATACCATATATACCATAAGGACATTGAAGGAAATTATTCATAATTCTATAATTTATAATATGTGTCCTATATTCACATTTCTTTGTTGGCCCTCAAAAGTTCTTGTACAACTGTTTATTTTCTAAGGAGAATCCATTCCAGATTCTGCATTGTATTTGGTGATCTCTAAGTCTCTTTTAGTGTGGAATAGTGACTCTTAGATTTTGGTGGTATTACAATCATCTGTGCAACTTGGTAAAAATACAGAGATCTGGGCTCTAGTCTATAAACCTGGGCCTCTATTTTTTTTTTTATTAGTTTACAGGTGATTCTGATACCAACCAAATTTAGAGAACCACTGGCCTAGAAAATTTTTCATGACATTGGCTTTTGAGTAGCCCAGGAAAGTTGTCTGTCATATATTTAGATTTCTTTGTTGATAGTGTCATTTAGTCTTGGGCTGTCTATTGTATTTTCTGCACAAGGGAAGTTAAGTCTACGAACTCTTTTAGGTCCAGATTAAACGTTTGGGGAAGAATAATTTGTAGGTTATTTGTATATTATATTACAATGTCTGAAAACATTTAAGTACAGTTCATTACATTAATGAAACAAAGTTTGTCCATTGGAGTAAAATGGTGGCTTCCCTACCTCCACTGTAAAGATCCAGTTTGTTGCTGGGATGGCTCACACCTCTAATTCAAGCATTCTGGGAGACTGAGACTTGAGTCCAGGAGCTCAGGACCTAGACTGGGCAATATAGCAAGACCTAATCTCTACAACAAAAACATTAAAAAATTAGCCTAATGTGGTAGTGCTCACCTGTAATCCCAGCTACTTTGGAAAAGGAGAAGGGAGGATCACCTAACCCCAGGAGGCTGAGGCTGTGATTAACTGTGATTAGGCCACTGCACTCCAGCCTGGGTGACAGTAAACCTTGACTTAAAGAAAAAGTTTAGTTTGTTGTGGGTAAGTAGTCTGTGTGGAAAGACTTCATCAACCTCTGGAAATTTATAGTCATGTGTATTTAAGTCCTGGATCGAATAGAAAATAAAAATTGAAATAGACTGTTGAGAAATGAATGACATTAAGGTGTCAACATAATTCAACTTTTGTGATGTGGCTGAAGCTGTTCTCAGTAGTATTGGTACCCTTCAGCATATGCAGGAAGCGAAGATTGTTTGGACTGGAACCTTGTTTTGTTTTCAGCATTTTATCCCCAGCACCTATATATCATGCCTGGCAGATGAGGCATTGATCAATTCTGAAATAAAATTAAACCTTCAAGTCAAGCTATAAAGCAAGCAGTATAAGTAAGCTTGAGACAATATAAGACAGTTAACAGCAGAAATGAAGATTAATAGAAAACAAATAGATTTCATCCATTTTAAAACATCAGATTTAGGTAAATCTGATTAAGGAAAAAAGTAAATATGAAATCATGAATTAGAGTATAACATTAAATTTTTAAAAAATTAATGTAATCCTATGTTATTCCAGTATATTTTAAAAATCAGATTATTTGTATTGTTAACTTTCTTCCATTCTTGAATATACCCTGGTCAGATAATTATTCTTTTGATACACTACTTCTATTTTTTTTACATTGCCTATACAATCATAAATTATAATTTTCTAAGTATTTTTCAAGTTTTGATTTTGCAGTGATTTTATAAAACAAATTACATAAAACTTGCCTTTCATATCTCATGTTTCTATTTGTTTCCAGTTTCATATGTTCTGTATTCATTTGTTCTCTTTGACTTCCTTCTTTGGACTCAACAGATTCCCTGAATATCCACCCAGCATAGAGTCATTGCACATTTTAGTAGTCCCATCAAGGATTGCTATAAAAGTCTATCATCATACAGTCTTGGCAGTACTATGTCGAGAAGTCAGAGCCCCTCTGCAAACTTGAGAAAGCACTTTAAAATATGTTAAAAATAGCCAGGCTCGGTGGCTCAGCCTATACTCCCGTGCCTTTGGGAGGCTGAGGTGAGTGGATTGCCTGAGCCCACGGGTTCGAGACCCGCCTGGGCAGCAAGACCTCATCTCTACAATAAATCAAAAAATCAGCTGGGCGTGGCAGCGCATGCCTATAATTCCGGCTACTTGGAAGGCTGAGTGGCCACTGCACTCCAGTCTGGGCGACAGAGTGAGACTCCAACTCAAAAAAAAAAAAAAAAAAAAAAAAAAAAAAAAGTTAAAAATTACAGGCCAAGGATGTAAGAAATTTAAAATCCCTTATGGTTTTAAAAGCAGAGAAGTCATCTATAGAATATTTCCTTTCATCTTCTAGGAAAAAAGGATCGAGTATATGTTCTTAAACTTTCTTGTTGCAACATTTGGGTATTTTAATATTTTGAAATACTATTGAATATATCATTTATTTGGTTTTTTAGTATGGCCTCCACTCCCAAGCATGGATTTTTATTTGGACTCCTTTTTACCTGATTAGTAAATTGTAATGAGTATCCATTAGTATGTACACATTTTCCCCATTCTTGGAATGTTACCCTTTCCAGAATTATATGGCTCACTCAACATTCCCTATATTTATTCCATCCTGCTTTTAAAGATATATACAAATGGTGACTGTACCTTCCAAATAAACATAACATTGGTAGGAAAAATACACATAAACAGCTCTTATTATCAACATAGAATTGAATGTTAACATTGTTAAACATTTTTAGCTGTGACCTTTTATAAAATTTACAAACTTTTTCTTTTGAGTATGATACTAGAAATATATCAACTTGATTTTTCCCATACTTAAAAAAATTAGCTATTTACAGATGCTCTGACTTAACAGTTCAACTTACAACTTTGAACTTTATGATGGTGTGAAAATGATGCATTGCTCTTGTTTGGATATTGTTTTCTCCAAATCTCATGTTGAAATCTGATCCCAATGTTGGAGGTAGGTCCTAATGGGAGATATTTGGGAGATGAATAGATCGATACCCCCTGAATACAGAGTGGTGGAGGGTGAGAGTTATCAGTTCCCATGAGAGTTGGTGGTTAAAAAAAGAGCCTGGCACCTCTTCCCTTGCTCTCTTGCTTCCTTTTTATGTAATCTATGCACATGCTGGCTCCCCTTCACTTTCTGCCAAGTGTGGAAGCACCTGAGGTCCTAATCAGAAACAGATGCTGGCACCATGATTCTTATACAGCTTTCAGAACTATGAGCCAAATAAACCCCTTAATAAATTATACAGCCTCAGTAATTCCTTTATAGCAATGCAAATCAGACTAATACATAAACATTCAGTATGCTTCCTGAATTGTAATAGGCTATATTTGGATAAATCCATCATAAGTTGAAAATCCTGTAAGTCAAAAACACATGACTTATAATATTTTCAACTTTTGATGGGTTTATTGGGATGTAAGCCATCATAAACTGAGGAGTACCTGTACTAATTATTATTTGATGCTCCAATTGACATAATGTGCCCAAAGGGGGTCCATTTATTTTATTCTTTTGACTGTTTTTGTCCTTAAACAACGTTTTTAGGCCTCAAGATGTTTCAGATTGATTCTGTCGTTCATATCCCCTACCTCCCCATCATAAGTCATGAAATCAACTCATGATTCAGTATCCCCTTAGGGAGTTCTGGTTCTTTTGGAGGAAAAGAGCACTAGAGACCAAAAAATATGGTTGTTATAGGTGCACATGGAGATTGCAGGTATGGAAAAAATTTGCTGCTTTTATTAAAATTTTTAATGTAGTTTCAGAGTTGAAAATGTCATCTTACATCATAAGTTCATACTGATTTTTTCATCTTATATTTCTGTGGTCTGCTCTTATTTGAATTTGATATTTGTTGATTTCTAAAGTATTATGTATGGTGATAGCTGAGAAGTTTACCTCC